ACACCCGGGCCTGGAGGGACTTTACTACCCGCCAAGCTTTGCTGAACCACCAGCGGTGCACTTTTTTCTTTTTCTTGGCTGGCGCCTCTTGCCATTGTGGTCCGGTAGGCTGAGCCTCCGAAAATTTCGTAGGCGACGAGTTTGCATTTTCAGCAAGGCTGTGGCCGTGTACTGGTGGTTTAAGTGAGAGGTGCCGTGTCCGTCCGTTAATACCCATCCCCGGTGTTTCATCCTCCCAGAAGCCCTACAACCTTTTGCTACCCTCTGCAACAACCTGGACTTTTAGGGTGCGGGAGGTGGGGGCGGGCCGGGGTCAAAAGAACAAAAACATGACCTTAAGTTTAAACCCTAAACCCTTGTCTCGGGCTGTTGCCGAAGCTGAGCATAATATCTGCGAGGGGCGTGTCTCAGTGCGCGTGCCGATCAGAGACACGCCCTGGAGGCCCACGGCGGCCCCCAGGGCGCAGGTTTCTACTGAAGGCGGCACTTAATTATTGATTTATTTATTTACTTATTTGCTGTCCTATTTTTGACTGTGCAGACGTTGTTTCTGACTTGCAGGGCCCAAGGCGACGACGCCTTGGGCTAGGGACACAGGGACGAGGCCGTTTTCAGGCCAGGCGCGTTTTGGCGCCTCGCTGCAACAGCAGCGCGGTCTGGATACCTGGTAGGGGTGCAGACCGAGTAGGCCGTTTTGAGACCAGTGCCTGAGGCACGCTCAGCAGGCCGGCGCTACTTATAGCTGGGCTGAGGCTGGGCAGCACACAGTTTGAGTAGCGTACTTCTTGAGCGACATGCTGCTGGTTTAGCGCTGCGCTACGGAGATAGAGGCAGAGCTCAGGAGGCAGAGGGGTGGAGGCACATACCTGCTGCAGAGCACGCCGGCGCCATAGCTGGGGCTCCCGGTGTTCCGACCTGCACATGACGTAGTGGTTAGCTGGCGGCAGTACTGGCAGGTGAGACAGTGAGGAGGACGACATCTTCTTCTTCTTCTCCATCTCCTCTCTTCTCCCTTCTTCCGCCTTCCTCCTCCTCCTCCTCCTTCCGCAGATAGGAGAGAGAGAGAGCGGTTACAGGCAGAGGATACAGGCAGAGGTTACTTTGTGCATAGCGTCCGGGATCTGATCCGACATTTTTGAGGCAGACATTGATTCGACATTAGGCAAGGGACTATTTTTGGACTTCGCTATCGCGATCTTGATTTCTCCCTCGCCTCCATCTTCGTCTCGCCTCCCCCCATCTCTCATCCGTGGTATCTTCCCCATGTGTGTGCATCAAGGAGCGACATGTCTTCTCTGTGTGCGGTCCCTTCTCTGCCTCTCACATGTGTGGTGTATGATGGGATGTCGCGTCAGTCCCGGTCACATCAGGACTTATCTTCGAGTCTTCCACTGCGCTACTTTGTGCCATTTTGTATGTATCGGGATGTACATTGCCCGTTGATGTTGCACTGACATTGCATTGTCCATTCAGTCCTTTTTCATCACATTGCGGATCCTTGGCTCCCTATAAATTGCCCAACTGGGCATGTATCACAGGTCCTGACTGGTAGCTTCGATGGAATGACCGGCGTAATGGGGGTACTTCACTCTCGAGGGAGCCCAATTTTATTATTCCCCAAACTGTCCTTTGTGAATTTATTAATGGTCACCTATACTAGGTTACAAGCCGGGCGGCCCGGGGTCCACCTTCTTTGCCCGGGCGCCCCGGCCGTGCAAGGACCAAAAAATATGGCAGGAAAAAAAAAAAAAAAACTGAGAGCTAGACCAGTCGGTGCTCGAACTGCTTTCTC